ACAAAATTTCAGAAAAGCCTTTCTCTTTCTCTGGAAACAGCTAAAATATCTTGTTCTTCTGAACTATTTTTAGAGAACAGAGTTAAAATAGGAATAATATAGCCAAGAAAAAGAAGAAAAGAAGTATGCATCATAACTAAATTGAATTACAATTGACTTGATATAGTCATACCAAAAAATCAATGGCATTAAGAGGAACAGTGAGCTCTGAGATGGTGTGTGCAGGATGCTGGAGTTACGAGCGCTCCAAATCAAGGTAGTAGGAATTCAAGCAGCTACGAGCGCTCGTAACTCCTTCTTCGAGCGTTCGTCCATGGTCTCGAACAAGAAGAATTTTCCTAAGGCAGCTACGAGCGCTCGTGCTGCGACCTACGAGCGCTCGTAGGAACATTGCAGACCCACTTGCTCCTTGAACCTCTCAATTTTTGTTCCCTCCTTAATTGGGTTGTTGGCAAAAAGCTGTGAGAGGACATAGGCCTCGGTTTTTGGGGGGTTGATAGACATCTTGTCTACAAAAGAAGGGGGGAAGCTTGTATTAGAAAAAAACACATTTTGGCTAAGTTCTAGGGAGAGAAAGAGTGAGTCTTGAGGGTTTGGAGTTCTAGCTTGCTTGAGCACGAAAATGGAGGGTGGATTTGCTTCTTCTCCTTCATTCCTTGTTCTTATGGGTAACTAAATCCTTCTCTAGGGAGGTGATGAAGCCTTCCCTTGTAATCATGTTCTAGATTAGACTCTATTTTGGGGATAATAATGAATAACTTTTGGTCTTTTCATAATCATGTTCTAGATTAGGCTCTATTTATCTATGTACTAATATTTATGGTAAAAATTTATAACTTCTAGTTTTAATTATTTATAGATTTAATAGAAAGAGTATCCCAAACGGAGATATTTTCTAGGTCCTTCCTATATTAAGATCTTTCCTTTATTAAAAAATTAATTTTAAAATACACAAAGTAGCCAAATAAACAGACAAATAAATAGCCACCTAATTTAAGATAAAATCACAAATTAAAATTCGTAAAGTATAACATTTTTCTTTTTTGAACTTTGGTCACTAATTTCTAATTTTGTCACTTTGAAATTGCAACGTATCTCCATTTCTCTCTCATTGAGAAAAATCTAGGGTTGAAAATTCACATTATGAAGCAATTAGGGTTGCAAAAAATAATGATACCCAAAACCTAGGGCTGAACTAAAACCCCTCTTGAAGCTTCCGACAACCTCGGCAAGCTTTCGACGACCAACAACAACTTAGGCTTCCGGCAAATTGTTCAAGAGTTATTTATATGGTAAATTTATGCTATTACAAGTATATACGAGAGAGCTTCATGAATGAAGAGACCCATTTTATTTCACATATTCCACCAAATCAAAAAACAAAATCCATCTTAAAAAACTGTAAAATAAATTACATAAACATAAATTCACAAATGAGATTTCAGTTTTTTTTTATTTTTATTTTTATTTTTTATTGAAGCATGTTTCTTCAAAGTAAGATGCAAAGGAATGAATTGATATAATTTGGTTTCAAAATTTCATCTCCAAAAGTAGCTAGCCACAAAGGGTCATGCATTGGTGCTGTTGCGTACTGTGCATGTTTTTAATCCACTTTTTGATTTCATGTAATTCTGAATTTCATTGTTTAGTTTGTTAATTAAATCAACCTCTGGGCATTATTAATTAAAGAAATGGAAAATTTCATAAACTCCTTTGACTGTCATTTTTTTCACAAAAATATATCATTTAATCTTATGTGTTGAAGGATAATCATCTTCAACTATTCAATGTGTTAGGCGTGGGGTCTAAGAAGAGGGTGGGAGTTTATGTTAGACATGAAGTCGGGCAATAATTTTTTATTGGTAACAAAAACGTTCTCAATTTTTAAAAATCTATTTATTTGAATTTATAGTTATTTAGGTTATACCAAAATTTAAGAGTATTATAATAAGAAAGGATTTGAAACTCATTATAGATATAACATGAAAATTAATATTAGTACATAGATAAATATAGATGTAAAAAAACAAAATAAAAAGTAAAATTGATAACATATTTGTTACTCTTAGATATAAAAGAGAATTCTATATTGTATTGATGTGTGTGAGAGAAGACTGCATGGCGGTTGGTTTATATAGGAAAAGTAATGTGTGGAGAGCAAGTCATTATCATATAAAATAATGTTATATATGGTAATAAGGGTAAGTTAAGACCGTTATCAATGTTATATATATATATATTCGATAATGTTAAATATGGTAATAAGGGTAGGTTAAAAAAGCTACCATATAAAGTAATGTTATATGTATATATTAATTATAGAACATATTCTAACAAAACAGAGTAACATGTTATAGAATATATTCTAAGTGTTACCAAAAGAGGAGGAGTTCTTAAAAGCAAACAAACCATGTATATTCAGAGTGTCACGGCTTGTTCAGTGTCTTCCTATATATTAGGGTATATATAATAGAGAATAAGCAACCTCATAAGGTATTTTTTAATTATTTTTCTACCAAAAATATTAGTGACAGGTTCTCGGGTTAGATGGTCCAAGATTAATCAATTCCTATATAGTAAAGAATCCTAAATGAAAAGAAGTTTTGGATTGGAAAAATTCTACATGGAAAGAATTGTAGAAGGAAATAAACTTGAATTGTATATGGAGTGAATTTTATATGTAAATAACGGTCAAGCATAAAGAATCTTACCATAATTTCATCTTGTTTTTGTATATAAATAGAAGGATGGACCTACAAGCATTATACTTGTTCTTTTTTATTTGAGTGAGTCTTATTTTCATTTTTTATTTTTTTGCTTTTTAGTTAAACAAATTGTTACACCTACCCATGGCTAAAGCTGTTTCAATAGCATCCATCTTTATCTTCATGATCTCGATCTCGATCTCAACCACAGAAGGATTCATGGACCCATGCACACAGTGCCCGCGGTGCGAGCAATCAATGATAAGTGCTCGGTTTTTGGTACCTTATCAGCCGCGACCCAATATTGAGCAGTACCCAGAGACAGAGACATTCCTTTATTCCATGGCGATGATGCTAAATAGTGCGATGGTGCGTCTGCAGGCGCTCGGTTATGGCAGGCTGAGTGTAGCGCTGCTGGGGGAGTACGATCAACTAGTGGGCCTTCACAATATGACGTTGTTCGCTCTCGACGACGCTTCCCTCCACGATTCTTGTAATTTCAATATCTACCTTCGCAATTTGAGGTTCCACATCGTGCCCAACATGTTGCTCACCGCCTCTGATTTGGAGAGGCTACCGCCGTTGACGGAGTTGCCCACCATGAAAGAGGGGAAGAATCTGGTGGTGCATGCCTCGGCCCCGCTCAGGATCAGCAACGTCAACATTGAGACCCCTGATGTTCTCCGCAGCTACAGAATTGCCATTCATGGACTGTCCCACCTGCCTTTCTCATCTGATCTTCATGATGGATGGTCACACCTGCCTTTCTCGTGGGATCTTCTTGACGTTGATTTATTTCATAGTTAGGATCGATGGGATTTTTAGTTCAAATTTTTTTATTTTTATTTATTATTTATTAGAGATCTTTCTTTTCTTTTTTCTTTAAATTTTATTACATATATATAGATCCAATAATTATCATCTCAATATTTATTTTTATTTTTTTCTTTTAAATATCATCCTAATATTCACTTACTCATATACCAAATAAAATTTGATTTTTTTGATATATAACCATGAAAACCATGAAATTTGAAAATTATGATTAATTATCACTTAAAAAGTTAATTAGGAATTATGGACCATTTGAGATTATTTTTTTTAAACAGTTAGGCGGTTTGAAAATTATGAATAATTATCACTTAAGGGTAAATTATGAATAATTATCACTTAAGGATTAGGATTTGAAAGAGGTATGGTTTGGAAAATGGAAATGAAAGGATAAAAGTGGTAGGGGTGTACAAAAATTCGGGCCTAAATTTGTGAGATCAGAAAAATATAGGACCGATATGTTATATATATATATATATATGTTATATATATATATATATATATATATATTTATATATGTTATGTATATATATATGTATATTTATATATGTTATGTATATATATGTTAATTTATATAATATATATATATATATATATATAATATAATATAATCATACAATTCAAATTAGAAGTTTCTAACATAAAAAGTATCAATTCTATGACCCACTCTTAATTATGTCTTATCAATTTATTACATGAATTTATTTATTTTTTCTTATTATTATTATTATTATTATTATTATTATTTTGGTGATTGAATTTTGAATTGTGACTGATTGTTTATTATTAAATTTTGATTGTTTATTATTAAATTTTGAATTGTGACTGATTGTTTATTATTGAATTAGTAATTTTGAATGTATTAGATTTTTAACAATTATGAATTTATTCACTTCCCTTCTAAAGGTGATAAAAAAGAAAGAATTAAAAGTGACAGAGAGAATGAATTAAAATTTCTGAATTTGTTGGTAACTTGCTTTATTGCTCTGCATGTGAATTTTTGCTCTTCTTTGTGACTCTTGGTTCATTTAATTTAACAAGTCAACAACCCACCATCGCCACTTGACCCATTTAACCGGAACATAAAAAAGTGCTGAGTTATGCCAAACATGATTTTGTGAACAACTCATTTTATGAAAATTTTAACAACTCTCTTAATTTGACAAAGAAACTGGCTGCTGAGTTAAAAAATGGGAATATGATGGAAATTATATCCAATTACAGAAAAACTGCATTAATGAAAGAACATATAGCAGATCCTCCATGGATAACCACGATGTCGCCTAACTGTTGAATTCATAGATGCAAGTACAGGTGTAATGTTTTATACCTACTTCAAATTAGAGAAAACCTTACTATCTTATCTGATTTATGATTCTATTACACCAGGGTTTACTTCCCTAGAATGGAATTTCCAATATAGAACCTGTCAAACATCAGGAGAAAAAGGTATACATACATTATTCACCTGCAAGCACAGAAAAAAACATTACATCAGTATCACCGCAAGTTGAAAAAAGATCCGGTCACCCATCAAATTTGCCACATCATGTCAGAAGAGACTTGTATTTGCATCAAAATAAAATCACAGCAAAAGTAAGGAAAACTGATAAAATTTCTAAAATATATGTGCTTCTAGGTGACAAAGGTACAACCTCTGGTAGCATGATGTCGCACCATTATTGATTCCTAGTGAAAACTGGTAATGAGATGCACCCAAATGAAAAATTAAAACCAGACTATGTAAGACGTAAGAGAACCAAAATTATGTGGCAGAACATACAGTGCTGAAGGCATGTTATGCATTGCGTTTGAACTCTCTCTGGACCTGTGCTTCCGTTTCTTACTACTGAATCAATGAATTATCACGAGAGAGAAGATTGGATTAACAATAATCACTACTACACACACAGGCACGTGATAAGCAAAAATGGTTCCTTCTATATATGTCAAGTGTAAATATAGTACTTGTCATGTGAGCCAGGATGCCGACATGATTTGAGCTTCCGGTCAACATGCTTCATATCCGCAGCAGTTGGGGTCTCAAGTTTACTTGCCTATAATGAAAGCCAGCAAAAAGTTAAAAGTAGGTATGTGGAGCTAACAGAACCATGGAAATGCTTGGTTCAGTGTTTTGAGAGCAATTTTCTCTCCCCAAAGATGAAAAGAACCAAAAAAAGTATATCTAAAATCCATTTGGTTGACTGAGCTAAAACAAAATTTCAGAAAAGCCTTTCTGTTTCTCTGGAAACAGCTAAAATATCTTGTTCTTCTGAACTATTTTTAGAGAACAGAGTTAAAATAGGAATAATATAGCCAAGAAAAAGAAGAAAAGAAGTATGCATCATAACTAAATTGAATTACAATTGACTTGATATAGTCATACCAAAAAATCAATGGCATTAAGAGGAACAGTGAGCTCTGAGATGGTGTGTGCAGGATGCTGGTGAGAGAGGATGCTCCCAAGATATCTGCACAGAAATCATTTGACAAAACAAAACAATTTTTTAGCCAAGAAAGGTAGGTGAGCTGCAAGAAATTAATTTGTTAAATACTTGCAGAAGCAATTCAAACCTCTCAAAGTCAAAAACACCATGAACTTCATTTGACTTGCGCAAAGCAGCCAATGCCAACTGCACCAAATTAATGGAGAGACACATATAATAGGAACTATGAAACTAAATAGAGAACAGACCATCGTATCAAACCACAATCCAAATCTGAAAACTGGAAGTTCCCCAGCAAAAGTCCTAGGCTATTTTTAAAATCAGGGGTCAGTGCTTGGTGTAGTGGTAAAAGCTCGGGCTGACAAGCTTGAAGAGAGAGATTCAAGTATGAGAACGGTCACTTTGTGCAAAATATTTCCAAAAGTTAGGGCCTGATTGGCTCAGTTTTCTAAAAACAGTTCTCAAGAACTCAGAAAACAAAAAACTGTTTCCAGAAAACTATACAGGCTTTTTTTAACTGAGTTATGCCCCCACTTGTCCTTATGTGGCTACGCCACTATCAAGGAGTAATTTAAGAGTTCCTATAATAATATTTAGATGTTAACACTCCTCGTCAAGCTGAAGGATGTATGGAAATAACGCTCAGCTTGCATATCAAATCATGAAATAGTTCATTTTCCAACGATTTGGAAAAAGACAATAAAATTGTTAGAGACACAGTGAATGCGAAGAACAATGCTATCAAACACACCGGTAGCTTAAATGTGATACCCCTCGGATCCGAGACACGGGTTGATCAGCCCCAGGCCCAAACCCGAGGGAATATCAAACAATTAAAGTATTTTAAAATGAACACAGATGACAAAAAGAAACAATAAAGATAGAATAAAGCTGAAAGAAAATAATAATAATAAAACCCTCCATGTGTAATTGAAATAATAAAACTCCAATCCTCCCAAAACTTCAAGGTTACAACTTGGGAATCCACTGATGGACCCCTAACCAAAAGTTCAACTGAAACTGAAAACTGAAAATAGATAATGCTAAAAATATCGAGAGAAGTCCTACGTAATCAGATGAAGGTGAGACTGTCCTCGACAAGCATGATCAAGCTCTAAGGCTGGAACCGTCCTGTACCTGAAAAGAATAATGAAAGAGTGGGTCAGACCCACGAGCAAGTTCTAATCTAACTGCAATCCATACAGTGACCCGATACGCAGATACACCGTAGACACCTCACAATATCTATCTAGTCCATACGTATAAATATATCTACACTAAGGGACATTCACTAGTCTATAATAGGGGTCTCAACCTGAATAGAAGACAACATGCAAATACGCACCCAAAGGTGGGCATGAGTACCTAGACCTAACAGGGTACACCTCTGACCGGTAGCCTCTTTACAAGGGTCGCGATACCAAGTCAAGCTTGAAGAGTTGTGAATTTAGGAGGTGGCCAAGTTTTACATTTATAGAAAGCCACTACTACCTTTCTCTATATAAAATATAGATAGGGCGAGTAGGGATCGTCCCAAGGGATTTGATGGTGTATCGAATTGTGAAACTATGGTAATTAGGGTTAGTAGGTCGAGTGATCACACAATTGATTGGTTGGTTGATTATACTAAATGAGCTAAACTATAATAAAGCAATGCAATAAGATAAAGAGTAAGTAAGAAGGAAAGGTCTTGGGGTGTAGAGATCACCACCAAACAATACTATTCCAAACCATAATCAAGTGACTAATGAGGGAAATGAATGTGTTGCAACAATGTTGTGTGTGTAAAAGACATTCAATTGGTAAGGGTGACTCAACAAGTGCAAATTGTCTCAATCAACATGTGTGAGGCCACAATACATCTATTGGTAGAGGAATATATTGTCTAAACATCATGTGAAGATAACAAAATAACAATTCAAGTCATTGAACCTTTCATTAAGCTTATAGTCCAAGCAATCCATAAGGATGATTTAGTTAAACATGCATTATCTAAACATCATGTGAGAGGTACAAAATATCTATTGGGAGAGGAATAAATTGTCTAAACACATGTGAAAGATACAACATATCATAACTAGTCATTAATCCTTCATTAAGCTCAAAATTCCATTACACCACAATATTAGAGCATATGCTTCTTGCATTCAAAAGCATGGAACATCAAAGAACAAGCATGAATTGTTTCCCCAACTAACACTACACTACTTAAAAGAGAAGCACAATCCATCAAGGAATAAGTATGAACCATCTAGAGACATAACAAGAGCATTACATTAAGAACTTCATATTTTGACAATCTCAAGATTAAAGGCATTAATACACATAGACATGCATCAATAACATTAAATCTAGAGGTGAGCATCTATTCTAGCATACATAGACATATAGATAGAGAAAATGATTAATTAGAAGCATTAATCCATATAACTCAATGAATAATCAAGATCTTCATAAGTTCAAGAGTCAAAATATGCATTACAACACAAATCCCTCAAAATTACACAAGATTAGGTAAAGAAAGCATGCTTGGGGCTAACTCTAGCCCCAAAAGGATGTCTAGCCACTCATGATGATGAAGCTCCAACCCTCAAGGGCTAAATCCATGGTGAAAATCTGCTCCTTGATGATGAAGGTCTCCTCCAAAGGTTGCTCTAGCTTCCTCCCTTCTTCCTCTCCAAGAATAGCCTCTAAGATCAATTTTCAATGTGTGACAAGAGACTTTCTCAAAAAGTGTATGATATTCCTTATATAGGTAGGTCAAATACACCCCATGATGAGCTGTGGTCGTGCAAGGTATATTCTCCAATGATTGGATGAAAGACGGAATAAATGAGCTGGACTTTAACTTTTTCTCGCTGGAGGAAGTTCGATCGATCGAACCTTAACTTGGATCGATCGAAAATGGGTTCGATCGATCGAATTGCATCTTGGATCGATCGAAGTGGTCTGACTCCTCCGGATAATTACAAGGCTGGGATATTTTCAAGATATTTATGGGGAAAAAGACAAAAGTGGTTGGTAGGCGTACAGCTGTGGATAAGATTAATCATTTGAATAGGACAAAATAGGGTTCGATCGATCGAAGGTGATGTTCAATCGATCGAACTTGGAATTTCAGCAAAGGCCAAGGTTGGATCTATGGAGAGGTACTGTGATCGATCATAGATGTTCGATCGATCGAACTCTAAATTGGATCGATCGAACTTTTCAGCTGCACAACTTGATTCCATTTTGCTCCTTTCTTTTTCCACTTTGCTCCTTCCTTTGGTTTATCTCAGGATTGCTTCAATTATGCTCTTAGTTGGCTGAGTTAGCTAAATTTTGGGATTAGTGCCTGAAAATATAAATAACACGTAATAAGTCTAAAACGGCAAAGTAAGCTAGATAAAGGTACTAGAATGCTTAAGCTTAACGGGTTTAAATGCGCACTTTTCAGTGCTCATCACACCCCCAAACTTAAATATTGCTAGTCCCTAGCAATGAACTAAGAAGTAAAGGAATGAATTAAACAACTATACAAGTATAAACTGGAAAGCAAGTAAAATGATAACACCATTTTCGTAGGGAACACGATTGCATTTAGCATATGCAACAAGCCTTTTAAACCCCTAGGTTACCCCTAGTGGACGAGTAAAGTCTCGTGAGGGTTTCCAGAAATGGTACCCACAAACATTAAGCTCATTCTTTCAAAAGAGGCACCAATATTGCAAACAAACATTGGGAGAAAACTACCTCAAGTATGCAATTTTTCAACCGTTTCTAAGCAATCTCCCAAAATTTCAATATCAAGCAAGCAAGTATGGTCCTCCACATATCAAGAAAATGATCATGAAAATCGAAACAAGTCTAGAATCCATGTGAGAGGTCCGGCATCAAGTGTGTTGCTATCTTAGCCAACTAGAGAAGTAATCACATCCTTACCCTCAAACTAGCACACAAATCTAGTACCGATCATCAAGATAAGAGAGTGGACCTTTTATTAAAGCTTTATTGTTCTAGGTGCGCTTATTCTTTTCACTCTTTTATTTATTTATTTATTTATTTATTGAGGATCAAAGATGGAAATATTGTGCAATGTATTGATCTTTTAAGCTTTCTAGAAGATTCATGTAGCGAGCTTTAGGTCAATGACTCCCAAACCAGATGGCTTTAGGGCATTAGGTGTTAAGACACCCCAACGGACTTACAAACTCAAATCAACTAGGCTATAAATCAAGACAACAACCATCTAATCATTTCCCACTTCTCGCCTTTTGGGAGAAGTCCTCACTTTTATTGCTTTTGCAACTTCTTTCTTCTTTTTTTTTTTTTTTTTTTTTTTTTTTTTTTTCAATTATTAACCTAGAGTTTGGGCCCTCCACCTTTCGGCGCGAGAAGTTCACTGCTTAATGAGGCAAGAATCCCGGCTACTCAATGAAAAGGGGTTGTTATCCACCTTTATCAACAATGAAAGCTTTCAATGCACTACTAGCCCAATTAGAATATAACCAATTCAATAATCAACAAAGCATGTACCCCATAATTGAATGCTAGCGTGCGCCGGTGCTAGTGTAGAATCCTAGAATGAATCTCAAAACAATCACAGAATCAGGATTATGTGGACCATAAGTGCAAGCATGATATTAATAATTTTTTTTTTTTTTTTGAAAAATTTACTCCTAAATGGCATTCAAAAGGCATATAAGGAGTATTGGACTCTCAAGTCAAGCAATTTTTAAATTTAAAGCAATATAGTCCTCAAAAGATCAAAATCATTGCTAGAAATGGACTAAGTATAGAAATATCCCTCAAATACACAAAATATGCTCAAAATTTGAATTTTAAAGCAACACTGAAACATACACCAATATCCCCAAACTTAAACTGCACATTGTCCTCAATGTGTGAAGAGAACAAAGGAAAGAGTATACCAGTGCTGTAGACATGAATGATCGGGATAGAAGTATCCAAAGTGGGTGACATGGCCCCCCCAAACTTGGGATAAACTGTGGTCCTGAAAAGTTTGCACTCGAATAAACTCATTAGATAACAAAGTAGGATAATCAGTGCACAGTGGACATGCAAGTGTAAATGGGATGAAAGATAGAGAATAGAGAGAGGTGTAAGGTGGTCCTGAAAAATCGGGTGGTACTCTCTCACTGAAGCGATTGGGATGCACCTGATGTATCAAACAGTGATAGATCAAGATAAAATCATAAAACATCCATCATAGATAAGAAATGATAATAAAGTGCAATACATCATAGTTAAGAAATGATATTTTTTTTTTAATTTTTTTTTTAATTTAATTTTGAATTTGAATTTTGAATTTTGAAAAATCAAAGAAAATTAAATTAATGAGATGTAAATTTCGATCGATCGAAGAAAGATTTCGATCGATCGAAGAGGATAAAGAATGTACAAGTTTAAGGGCTCAAGAGTTGACACGTGTTGGAACCTTGGATCGATCAAACTTGGAATTCGATCGATCGAACATGAAAAATTTTGAAAAGTCCCGAGAGCATACATTTTTGAAAAATGGATGAGGCCTAAAATTTTTTCTAAGTGTTGGGACTCATGATCGATCGAACCACATGTTGGATCGATCGAAAGATAGTTCGATCGATCGAAATGGTTTACGATCGATCGAACTTTTGAAAATTTGGAGATCCCGAGAGCATGCATTTTGGAATTTGGATGCAGGTCCAAAATTTTTCTAAGTGTTGGGTCTCATGATCGATCGAACCACATGTTGGATCGATCGAAAGATAGTTCGATCGATCGAAATGGTTTACGATCGATCGAACTTTTGAAAATTTGGAGATCCCGAGAGCATGCATTTTAGAATTTGGATGCAGGTCCAAAATTTTTCTAAGTGTTGGGTGCAAAATGAGAGCTGGATCGATCGAGTCCATAGTTGGATCGATCGAACCAATGTTCGATCGATCGAACCAAAACTTGGATCGATCGAAATTATGCCTAAATGCTTAAAATGACTTGAATGCTCATGCAATCCCTTACTCAGTTCCTTCCAATGTATATGAACCACAAAAATAGTATCTAGACTTCGCAAGAATCAAAATGCAAGATAGAAATGAGGGAGGAATAGGGTTTTGACATCCTACGAGTTTCGGTGCTAGTCTTTAACGTCTCTAGCAAGACCTTGGGCTCTTTCAGCCCGGATCAAAGATTTTGTGATGCATCCCCTCCTTTTTGGGTTGAGAAATGTTTTGAGTTCCACCCAACAAATGGTTCTTGGAAGAACTTGTTGGATTTAACTCAAAAGATGTTTTTAAGTTCTTATCAGAATCTTCATCAATATGTTCATACACCGGGTCAATAAGATTTGCAGCCTCTAAATGTCTTTGAAAGACTTGACCCTTTATGTATGGTTTCAATCTTTGCCCATTCACCTTGAAGATGTTCCCCTTCTTCAAGTCTTGTATCTCTACCGCTCCATGCGGTGCAACCGAGATAATTTCATAGGGACCTTCCCACTTGGTTCTCAATTTGTCGGGAAAGAGTTTTAACCTAGAGTTGAAAAGCCAAGCTTTTTGACCGGGTTCTAAGGACTTCTTCACAATATGCTTATCATGGAAGGCTTTGGTTCTTTCTTTGTAGAGCTTATCATTATCATAAGCATTGTGCCTTAGCTCTTCCAATTCACTCAATTGAAGTAGCTTATTCTCTCCGGCTTTGGCTAGGTTAAAATTGAGCTTTTTAACTGCCCAAAAGGCTTTGTGTTCTAGCTCAACCGGAAGATGGCAAGGCTTCCCATAAATAATTCTATAAGGGGACATGCCAATGGGAGTCTTATATGCCGTCCGGTAAGCCCACAAAGCATCATTTAGCTTTCTTGACCAATCTTTCCGGGTGGTGTTAACCGTTTTCTCAAAGATATGCTTAATTTCCCGGTTAGACATTTCAACTTGTCCACTTGTTTGAGGATGGTAGGGAGTGGCTACTTTGTGAGTGACGGAGTACTTAAGAAATAATTACTTCAAGAATTGATTGCAAAAATGCTTTCCTCCATCACTTATCATAGCCCTTGGCATACCAAAACGAGCAAAGATATTGGATTTAATGAATTGAATGACTACGGAGTGATCATTCGTTTCGGTAGCACAAGCCTCAACCCACTTAGAAACATAATCAACGGCAAGAAGAATGTATTGATAACCATATGACATGGGAAATGGACCCATGAAATCAATGCCCCAAATATCAAAAATTTCAACAACCAATATATTGGTTAATGGCATCATATCTCTTTTAGACATTGTTCCCATCTTTTGACACCTCTCACACGACTTGCAAAAGTTGTAGGCATCTCTATGAATAGTGGGCCAAAAGAGCCCACTTTGAAGAACCTTTAGGGCGGTCTTCTTTGCACTAAAATGCCCACCACATGCAAGTGTGTGGCAAAACACTAGGACACTTGGGATTTCACTCTCCGGAATGCATCTTCTCACAATTTGATCGAGACAATAGCGGTATAAAACAGGGTCTTCCCAATAGTAATTCCGGATGTTGACAAAGAAACGATTTTTGTCGTTCTTTGACCAAGAGGTTGGAAGCTTGCCTATTGCCAAATAATTCACAATATTAGCAAACCAAGGCATTATTCCATTTAAGACTTGAAAAAGTTGTTCATCCGGGAAGGAATCATGAATTGGAGGACTAGGGAAAGGCTCTATTTGTAATCTAGAAAGATGATCAGCAACCACATTTTCGGTGCCCTTTTTGTCCTTGATTTCAAAATCGAATTCCTGGAGGAGTAAAATCCATCTAATCAATCTAGGTTTTGTTTCCCTCTTTGTTAAAAGATGTCTTAATGCAGCATGATCAGAGTAAACAACAACCTTAGATCCTAGCAAATAAGAGCGGAACTTATCAAGAGCATATACTACAGCAAGTAATTCCTTCTCGGTAGTGAAGTAATTCAATTGAGCTCCTGAGAAGGTTTTGCTTGCATAGTATATGGCACAAGGGAGCTTACCTACTCGTTGGCCCAAAACTGCCCCCATGGCATAGTCAGAAACATCACACATAATTTCAAAAGGCAAAGACCAATCAGGAGGTTGCATGATAGGAGCAGATGACAATGAAGTGCACAATTTATGAAAGGCGTCTAGGCATGCTTGATCAAAGACGAAAGGAGTATCCTTGGCAAGAAGATTGCACAAAGGTCTAGCGATTTTGCTAAAGTCCTTGATGAAGCGGCGATAGAAGCCAGCATGACCTAGAAAAGAGCGAACTTCCCTCACCGTTGAAGGTGGGGTTAGTTTAGAGATGAGTTCAACTTTCGCCTTATCTACCTCAATTCCTCTTCTAGATATGACGTGAGCCAAAACAATTCCCTCTTGAACTATGAAATGGCTCTTTTCCCAACTAAGAACAAGGTTTGTTTCACGGCATCTTTTAAGCACTAAGTCCAAATTTTTGAGGCAAGCATCAAAGGAAGACCCAAAAACAGAAAAATCATCCATGAAGACCTCAAGATACTTTTCCACCATATCCGAAAAGATAGACATCATACACCTTTGAAATGTAGCAGGAGCATTACACAAACCAAAAGGCATCCGTCTATAAGCAAATGTGCCAAATGGACATGTAAAAGTGGTTTTCTGTTGGTCTAATGGGTCAAGGGCCACTTGGTTGTAACCGGAATATCCATCTAGGAAGCAATAGTATTATTGCCCCGCCAATCTCTCTAAGATTTGATCAATGAAGGGCAAAGGGAAATGATCCTTTCTAGTGGCGGCGTTCAATTTTCGGTAATCAATGCACACACGCTATGAGTTGGCGGTGCGCTTAGAGATTTCCTCACCTTTAGCATTTTCAACCACGGTAATTCCCGACTTCTTGGGAACTACTTGTGTGGGACTCACCCATTTACTATCGAAGATTGGGTAGATGATTCCGGCATCCAAAAGCTTCACTACTTCTTTCTTAACTACCTCTTTCATGTTAGGATTCAATCTCCTTTGGGCATCCCAAAAGGGTTTTGTATCCTCTTCCATGAGTATACGATGTATAAAAATGGAAGGATCAATTCCCTTAAGGTCCGCCACACTCCACCCTATAGCTTCTTTGTTTTCTTTAAGTACATTAAGAAGAGCATTTTCTTGGTCCTCATCACCGGAAGAGTGTCGTGAGGACCTAGAAATGCATACTTAAGATTAGAAGGCAAAGTTTTTAGCTCAAGAGTTGGTGGAGATACCAAAGATGGAACCGGAGGAGTACTAGAAAGTGAAGGAAGAGGCTCAATTGGAGTTTTCCATGGTGGACAATTCAAACTTGCTACGGATTCCATTATATTGCTTACTTTATTGATTGAATTTTCATTATCAAACCCACAACTCTCATACATTTCAAGAAGACATGAGGCAAGAGGATCATCGGATAAAAGAGATGAGAGATCATCCTCAAGCGGTTGTTTCATGCATTGTGGGAATTGATTCCTCAACAACCTCATCTAACACATCAATAACATAACACTCATCTTTATCTATGGGATGTCGACTTGCATTGAAAACATTGAGTTTGACCAACATGTTGCCAAAAGAAAGATCCATGATTCTGGACCTACAATTGATAGTGGCATTGGTGGTGGCAAGGAATGGTTTTCCCAAGATGATTGGGATTTGGGTAGTGGGATTAGCAACCGGTTCGGTGTCTAACACTACAAAATCAACCGGAAAGTAGAATTTGTCTACTTTGACAAGGATGTCCTCAACCATACCCCTAGGTGTTTTGACGGATCTATCGGCCATTTGAAGCACCACCGAGGTTGGCTTTAACTCATTTAACCCCAATTGGACATACATAGAATAAGGAATCAAGTTAACACTTGATCCTAAGTCGAGAAGAGCTCTACGGATCTCGTGATTTCCAATTACACATGAAATGGTTGGAGCACCGGGGTCTTTGCATTTGAGTAGAGTATTTTGTTGAAGAATGGAGCTCACTTGCTCCGTGATGAACACTTGCTTAGGACCTTGTCCTTTGTTCCTCCTCTTTTGTGTGCAAAGATCTTTTAAGAATTTGGCATAAGGCGGCATTTGCCTAATTGCATCTAAGAGGGGAAGATTTATGTTCACTTGCTTGAAAACATCCATCATGTCAAGTATTTTCCCATCTTGCCTCTCTTGAGGCGAGGTTTCTCTCAAAGCATAAGGGAAAGGAGCTTTTGGCTCATGATATTTTGGCACTTGAGAAGATGATGAAGATTGAGTATTCCGATTTGGAACATTCTCATCCAAAGAGATAGGTATGGAATTGGAATTTTGATGAGTGACAACATTTGGTTGCACCGATTCACTATCCTCCTTTGGCAACTCAACCTTATTGTCAACTTGCTTACCACTTCTCAAAGTAGTGATTGCTTGTGTTTGAACTTGTGAGGCATTCTCCGATGTAGAGTTTGCCTCCACACAAAATTGAGCTTTTGGGTTCCTCTCGGGTTGACTAGGTAACTTACCCACTTCCTTTGCATTCAATGCATTAGCTATGATCCCGATTTGGGACTCTACCTTTGATATAGATTGAGAGTGTGAATGCAACAAATTTGTGTTCTTCTCTAGGTTATCCAAAGCCATTAAAACCTTACCTTCAAATGTAGAATTATTATGAAGTGCATGAGGAGGATGATGCTCCGTTTGGAATTCATACATTTGAGGATGTGAAGAATTATTCATTCTTTGATGATATGAAGGAGTGAACCCTTGAAAACTTTCATTTCTCTTGTGAGGTGGAATGTACTTATTTTGAAAATTCTGAGCTTGAAAAGAATTTGGATGTTCATTCCACCTTGGAACATAAGCATTGGAATAGGGATGAGCAAATGTAGCATTGACTTGTTCATAGTGTTCATTATAAGCATGTCCATGGGGACAATCAAAAGTAGTGTGCAAAACACTTGAACATGTCATACAAGGCTCATACATTTGAGAGGTATGATGATAAGGATATGAATTGTTAGCCGGTTTTTGATTTAACAAGAATTGGTCAAACTTTTGAGAAAGAGTTTTAATCTCTGCTACAATTCCCATTGAACTCTCTATTTGACAAACTTGAGAATTTTTCTTCTTCTCTTTTCTTTCATGGTCAATTTGAGAAGTATAAAATTTTTGTAAAGAGTTTTCGCTCATCTTCTCAAAGAGTTGCCAAATGTCATCCTCATGTTTCCTAAAATATGATCCTTCACATGATGTATCAATAATGTCTTTATGAATGTCGGATAGGCTCTCATAGAAGTATTGAACCACTTGCCATTTTGGAATGCCATGATGTGGGCATTTCCCTAGCAAGTCATTCAATCTTTCCCAAGCCTCATGTAATAACTCCCCTTCTTTTTGAGAAAAAGTTCTAATTGAAGTACGCATAGTATTGGTCAAACTCATGGGATAAATTTTTTTTAAAAAATTCATTTTGCATTTGCATCCAAGAAGTTATAGAATTTGCTTCCAAAGTATTGAACTAATGCTTTGCCTTGCTTTTGAGTGTGAAAGGGAAAAGGAGTAGTCTAATCACTTCCTCCGGAACATTCATGTATCTAATGGTGGAACATATTTCAAAGAATTCATTTAGATGCTTATAAGGCTCCTCATCATTTAGACCATAGAAAAGTGGACACAATTGAATAGTTTCAGGCTTGATTTCATATTGATTTGTCTCGAAATTAGGCAACATGATACAAGAAGGTGCATGGTATGCATGGAGATCATAATAGTCACGAAGTACCATTAGAGGCATTGGAGCTTGAGCTCCGAGACCGTATTGATCGGGAGGGAGGTTTTGCATGAAATGCGGGTCTAGGTAGCCAAGATTACCCTCTAGGTTTTCCATGTGAATGCCTAGAGTGAATGATCAAGTAAAGACTACAAATCACAACAAAGCAATCAAACAAACACTTCTCCTTCACAACAAGTCAAATATCAACAACTTCCTCCATATACAATAGTTCCCATACTCCCATGCTTTCAATGATATGCAATGCCACCACGTGGGCCCCCGATTTAACTAAGGAGATTGAGTAAGAAGGTCTCACAATGGTCCTTTAGTACTTTAACTCAAAATTTAAAAACTTAGCTTAGCAAATTTATTTATTTATTTATTATTATTTTTTTTTATTTTTTATTTTAGCAACTCTTCATTTTTAACATTTTTTTTCCTTTTTGCTTGCTTTGCTCCTTAGCTTTGAAGTTCTTTGCTAGCTCCTTACTCAATGCACCTTGTTAATGAAGAACAAACTTAATAAGTAATAAAAAAAAACAGAAAATAAAAAGAAAGTAAAGACATGATCAAAAGAGTACTAATCCTAATTGAATTTCACAATTCGACGTTGCCAATTTAAAATCCCCGGCAACGGCGCCAAAAACTGACCGATAGCCTCTTTACAAGGGTCGTGATACCAAGTCAAGCTTGAAGAGTTGTGAATTTAGGATGTGGCCAAGTTTTACATTTATAGAAAGCCACTACTACCTTTCTCTATATAAAATATAGATAGTACGAGTAGGGATCGTCCCAAGGGATTTGATGGTGTATCTAATTGTGAAACTATGGTAATTAGGGTTAGTAGGTCGAGTGATCACACAATTGATTGGTTGGTTGATTATACTAAATGAGCTAAACTATAATAAAGCAATGCAATAAGATAAAGAGTAAGTAAGAAGGAAAGGTCTTGGGGTGTAGAGATCACCACCAAACAATACTATTCCAAACCATAATCAAGTGACTAATGAGGGAAATGAATGTGTTGCAACAATGTTGTGTGTGTAAAAGACATTCAATTGGTAAGGGTGACTCAACAAATGCAAATTGTATCAATCAACATGTGTGAGGCCACAATACATCTATTGGTAGAGGAATATATTGTCTAAACATCATGTGAAGATAACAAAATAACAATTCAAGTCATTGAACCTTTCATTAAGCTCATAGTCCAAGCAATCCATAAGGATGATTTAGTTAAACATGCATTATCTAAACATCATGTGAGAGGTACAAAATATCTATTGGGAGAGGAATAAATTGTCTAAACACATGTGAAAGATACAACATATCATAACTAGTCATTAATCCTTCATTAAGCTCAAAATTCCATTACACCACAATATTAGAGCATATGCTTCTTGCATTCAAAAGCATGGAACATCAAAGAACAAGCATGAATTGTTTCCCCAACTAACACTACACTACTTAAAAGAGAAGCACAATCCATCAAGGAATAAGTATGAACCATCTAGAGACATAACAAGAGCATTACATTAAGAACTTCATATTTTGACAATCTCAAGATTAAAGGCATTAATACACATAGACATGCATCAATAACATTAAATCTAGAGGTGAGCGTCTACTCTAGCATACATAGACATATAGATAGAGAAAATGATCAATTAGAAGCATTAATCCATATAACTCAATGAATAATCAAGATCTTCATAAGTTCAAGAGTCAAAATATGCATTACAACACAAATCCCTCAAAATTACACAAGATTAGGTAAAGAAAGCATGTTTGGGGCTAACTCTAGCCCCAAAAGGATGCCTAGCCACTCATGATGATGAAGGTCCAACCCTCAAGGGCTAAATCCATGGTGAAAATGTGCTCCTTGATGATGAAGGTCTCCTCTAAAGGTTGCTCTAGCTTCCTCCCTTCTTCCTCTCCAAGAATAGCCTCTAAGATCAATTTTCAATGTGTGATAAGAGACTTTCTCAAAAAGTGTATCATATTCCTTATATAGGTAGGTCAAATACACCTCATGATGAGCTGTGGTCGTGCAAGGCATATTCTCCAATGATTGGATGAAGGACGGAATAAATGAGCGGGACTTTAACTTTTTCTCGTTGGAGGAAGTTCGATCGATCGAACCTTAACTTGGATCGATCGAAAATGGGTTCGATCGATCGAACTGCATCTTGGATCGATCGAAGTGGTCTGACTCCTCCGAATAATGACAAGGCTGGGATATTTTCAAGATATTTATGGGGAAAAAGACAAAAGTGGTTGGTAGGCGTATAGCTGTGGATAAGATCAATCATTTGAATAGGACAAAATAGGGTTCGATCGATCGAAGGTGATGTTCGATCGATCGAACTTGGAATTTCAGCAAAGGCCAAGGTTGGATCTATCAAGAGGTACTGTGATCGATCATA